GATAATTTCACCGTATTTCATGCGTGAAGTACTACTTATGTTCATTTAGGGCAAGCAAATATATCGCCTAATGACACACAACGAAACAATTCTGATATTGCAGCCGACTTTCCGTGTTAGTGAATGTTCCAATTTTCGGTCGGAGGGTCGGACAAGTATCTTTCAAATGAACAAAAAGCAGAATCGCTAACAAAATGCATTTTTAGCATTTAAAAGAGCAGCAGTGGATCTGAGCGCTGCCGCTGCTGCTGGTGCTGGCGGTACAGCGACAGGAAAAAAACCAACAAAAAGGAGCTATTGGGGAATGATTAGTGGGATAGCGTGTGGTACTGTGCTAATGGTATGTCTGGTTGGAGCTGCTGGGATTCTGATCAATCGAAGGCGACGAAAACGTCAAGCTATTGGGTTCTTTTTTTTTGCAGTTTTAAATCAAAAAGGATTTCCAGGGAGAAAAGTAATGGGGCGAACAAGCTTTTGAAGGGCTATAACTTGACAGCAGTTCAAGAGTATTTAGATATTTTGACAGCCTTGAGAACTTTTCAGGACCTACTGAAGTTCGAGAAATTAGGAACTAATTAAAAAGTAGGGGCAAAAAGTAGCAGAATATTTAGAAAAATATGTAACAGATAGTATTCAGCAAATATTTCGCGCTGCGAGCCAATATGGCGCGAAACTAGTAGGTTTCAAGACTCTCAGCTTTATTAAACATTGGAAAGAAAATAATGAAGTAGAAAAGATGAGGAAGGGAAGAAAACCAAGAAAAGGCGAACTATGATGGGGAAGAGGAACTAAGGAAATACTTGAAATAGGTAAGAAATGTTTTGGTCCACTAAGTCGTGTACATTTCTTACAGTTACTACAGTCACACTAAACCTTCAAGACTCTCAGCCTTATTGTTTTCCTGATATGATAATGAGGTTGAAAAGTTCCCTTGTGAGTCAAAATCAAGCTTTGTCATCTTGTTAGAAGAGAAAAATGATGTCAACTTTTTACATACAGTGCGTGTTCATAAACGAAAAGAGTGAGTATGTCGCAGGTACAGCACGGATAACAAATGAAAAGGGACATAAATTGGCAACAATAAAACAAGGATACTATTTAAAAGCAATATAATATTCTCCTTCCAAACTGTGCATAATTTTTGCAGTGTGGATGTTCATGACGGCGAAGAAGCCACAATGCATAGAAGCCAAGAGGAAGATGTTAGTGAAAATTTACCAGGCTTGGTA